GGGATCGCAACCCTCGGTGTTGCTCCCGCCCCTCACTCAGCCAGTGAGCAGCCGGTCTGTATGCGGGATCCGAACCCTCGGCGGGAGCGCCACCACGCTTCCCAAGCGGCGCACTATAGCAGTGCGCCACCGGGCCGGCCCCAAAATAAGTTTTTTTTTTTCCTTTTTGTCTTTTTTCGTGCCCGGCAACGGATCGCAACTCTCAGTGTCGCGCCCGTACCGGACCGGGACCAGCCACGGGATCGCAACCCTCGGTGTTGCTCCCGCCCCTCACTCAGCCAGTGAGCAGCCGGTCTGTATGTGGGATCCGAACCCTCGGCGGGAGCGCCACCACGCTTCCCAAGCGGCGCACTATAGCAGTGCGCCACCGGGCCGGCCCCAAAATAAGTTTTTTTTTTTCCTTTTTGTCTTTTTTCGTGCCCGGCAACGGATCGCAACTCTCAGTGTCGCGCCCGTACCGGACCGGGACCAGCCACGGGATCGCAACCCTCGGTGTTGCTCCCGCCCCTCACTCAGCCAGTGAGCAGCCGGTCTGTATGTGGGATCCGAACCCTCGGCGGGAGCGCCACCACGCTTCCCAAGCGGCGCACTATAGCAGTGCGCCACCGGGCCGGCCCAAAAATAAGTATTTTTAATTAAGGAACTGGCTGGTTAGCTCAGTTGCTTAAAGCACAGCCTTGTAACACCAAGGTCAAGGGTCTAGTTCCCCATACTGGCCAGCCTAAAAAAAAAAAATTAACAAATAGGACTGCCAATATTCACCCTATCTAGTATATATAAAACAGTAAATATTGAATAATAAATTGAAGAAATAGTAAAGACTGAATCATAAAATTTTTTTTGACTTTTCAGTGATATATTCATCATCACTGGTTCCATTACTTTTTGTTTGTTGCAGTATCGTGCAAAACTTTGAAATGTCTTCTTTTATTGTGATTTATTTAATGAGGGATTAGACTAGAGAAAAAGCAATCATAGTTTCAAAGACATTCATATAATATCAAAATACACATTTATGTGGGCCTCAGAGCTCTAAACTAACAATGCATTGCAATATTGATTTTAAATAGGCCTTTGAAAGCACTCTGAAATCTTGGGAAGATAAACAGAAGTGTGATTCTGGCAAACCAGTTCTTCGAACCCATTTGTACATCCATCATGCCATTGACTTGGCAACGGAAGAAGTGTCGCAGATGCAGCTCTGTTCCCAGGCTGCAGAGGAGCTCATTACCAGGTATGGCGGTTCTGCCGGCTTGTCCGACCATGACGACTCTTGTCTTAGCCAATTTTGTTTTTTTAATTTTAATACATTGTTTCAGTGGTTTGTGGTATCAAAAAGACATGTGTTTACTCTTCGTCTGCTGTCTCATTTGTGCCTCAATAATTGTGCTGCCCTGGATCAGATCCTCTCCAACAGACCTATACACACAGTGTTCTCTGCAATCCATATCTTAGATTTCCTGAAACACGTGCCTCACTTACCCTACCACACAGTCCTCTTTCCATTATTGTTTATCTACCCATTTATTTATGATCTTTATGCTATACTACTCACTTACAGGTTGCCTTATAATTATTAATTAAATGTTTATGGAATCTAGATGTTCAAGGAGAGTTGAGGGCAGCAAAGATTTTGAAACCACTCACAAATTAATTTTTGTAGACAGAAAGGGAGGAAATAAAAAACAAGTTCTGTAGTAACTATGACCAGGAGCAAATTTCGGAGGGGAGGAGTAACCATGGACAAGTTTGTTAACTCCTCTTCACCTAAATCTTATCTACCAAATGCGGGTTATAAGAGCTACTTTACCAGAATGCGCGAGAAGTAACTGAGACTCTAGAGGTACAGCACTCTAAGCACATCATGTCTGGCATATTTAGTGCACGTGCATGGCAGCCGTCATATGCTTCCCACACCTTCACCTGGTCACTGATGAAAATAGTGAAAAAGGAAAGAAGGAAAGCAAAGCTCAGTGGTGGTAGAGGCAGCTTGTTTCCACCCCCTCCCTTCTATTTGCCGTCTGCTCCCCTTCTCTCATTCCTTGCTCTCTTTAAATATTTATTAGATACCTAGAATGTACAAGATGTTAGAGATACAAGAGAAAAGATATACACTCCTTACTGCTGAAAACCAACATTCAGAATTACAATAAAGTATGATAACTGCAAGATACTGTGTAGCTTAGAAGAAAGGTAAGAGAAAATGAATATTTACTCAGCTAAATCCATGTAACTGCATTACTGTACATCTCAGCTTCTTATCCACAGGGATGTTAGCTTCTTATCCACAAGGTGAATGCTGTTTTATATACCACAAACAACTGCTGTGGTCTCCAATTTACAGTGTTTTCTTGAAAACAAAATATACTCCCTGGAAACCAAAATATACTTCCTGTGTTATCCTCCTGTGCACCAACCAGATAACCTTATCAAAAAAAGGGAAGGGAAGGTTGACCAGATGTGCTTTTGGTCAACCTAGTTTGGTTCCCAGTCTGTTTTTTAAATTATACAAAAGATGAAAATCAGGGTGACTTGTGTATTTTCAGAATGTATTTATTCAATATTGAATAAATATTTTTGAGCCTCTTCTGTACCAGGAATACCAAGATGAGTATACCACGGTCCTTAATTTGCTCACAGATTAGTAGGAGGGAAAAGTGTGGCCAAAGCACTGTCACAGGGCATATAGCAGATGCTGCAGGCACACAGAGAAGGCCAGAGGCAGTGAAGGAGGGCTGCCTGAAGAAGTGACCTTTTAGCCACATCTTGAGGCATGTAAGAGAAGAAGCAATCTAAGCACAGAAACCAGCATGGGCAGAGTGTGAGTGCATGCTACTTTTGGAAAATGTTAGAGAGTTTGGGGTGACTGAAATGTTGGCATGATATATGCTAGAGTGTGGGAAATGCAGATGGAGAGGTAAGGAGGGACCAGATCTTTATCAGATGGTTCTGGAAGTAGTGTGGAGGATTTTTTATAAGGACAGCAAAGCTGGGGCAGGGTGAACACTTAGGGCACTGTCAAAATGGTCCTAATGAGAAATGATGGATTAAAGCAGTTGAGATGGAAATGAGAAGAGTTTAGGATCTGAAATTGGTATATGAGCGTGAGTTAGGAGACAGGATGACTTTAAAATTTCTAGTGAATGGCCAGATGGATTGTGGTACCTCTGATGAACCATAAGATTGAGGAAGAGGAGCAGATTGGAGAGGGAAAATGATGGATTCTATGTTGGACTTAGTATTTAAATAACATTAGAAATTTACGAGCAGATTAAGTAGGCAGTTGGAAATGTTGGTCTGAAGTTGATTTACCTCTTTCCCTTTATTTGAAAATTGGAATAACATTTGCCCATCTCTATTCTTCTGATAAACAGCCCATTCTTCATGGTTTCTCAAGGTGTTTGGTAATGCCAAGGTAACATCTGCAAGTTCCTTTGTGCCTTGGACATCAGTGATATGATTCTTAAGAATTAAACTCTTTTCGTCTACTCTTGATTCAACTATGTAGGGCTTCTGTCCCTTTTCTTGTTCCATCCTTTCCAGATTGAAGATCATTCTCCATGCAGAGGCCAGAAGCAAAAACTGTTTAAATAGTCTTGCCTTCTTGCTCGTCTGCAAACTTTACATCATCTTCTAGCAATCAGAGGAACTTTTCCTCCTTTCTCTTCTTTGGCCTTAGTGCCTTCCCGGATTTAGTCTTTCCAGGACTATTCTTAGAGGTTTAGATAACAGAGGAGTGGCACAACAGGTTTTGGAGTTGGATAGACAGATTTAAATTCTGGCTCTACCACTTATTAGCTCTGCATACATGCTAAATCTCTCTGAGCCTCTATGTCTTCCTCTATAAAGTGAAGAAAATTAATCATAGCTGCCTTTTAAGGTTGTGAATATTAAATTAGATAATACTTATAAAGCACTTAGCATATAAGTGATAAATATGGTAATGATCTTCCATTAATCTGTTGTATTTGAAGTTTCAATGAATAAAAGATAAGCATTTCCTCCCTATGCTTGTGACCCCCCCTCATTTTCCAGTGATAAGTGCAAAATGACATATTACTATATTTTGTCCTTTCAAATAGCACTTCAGTATGTTTATCTCTGATTCTAACCCTAACTTTTTATATAAGGATTTTTGATTTATATTCGTTGTTGCAGTGGGGTTTGAATTTGTATACCTAAACCTACCCTGTGCCATTCATAACTGAGCAGCCAAAAAAATTTTTTTTCTTACTGATTTTTATATATTTTTTACTTGTTTGATCCTGCCGCCTCTGCACTTTCAAAAGAAAAATCAGCAATGCTTAATAAAGTTTTTTCGTTCATTTGTTTCAATTTTGCTTTCAGGATTTGTGATGCAGCCACAATTCACTGTCTTTTGGAGCAAGAACTGGCCCATGCTGTGAATGCATGCTCTCACGCACTGAATAAAGCCAACCCAAGATGCCCGGAGGTGAGGATCTAATGGTAAATTCTCATTCCACAGATTCTTTTGGTGTTGCACATATATTTTAATACTGTAAGATATGCCACACCCTGTGAAATAAAGTTATATTGTCTATATGAGTCTCTACCAGAAGTTTATAGTAAATAGGGGGCCAAAGTTTTCTTCATTTTCCTTTTCCTGACATTTTCCTATTTCTGCCCTTAACTTCTCTCCACTTCTTTCTGTTTCACTTTTAATCTTGTCACCTTGCTATCTTCCTTCTACTCTTTCCCATTTTAACTGCTACCATCCTTCCTTATACCTTCGTTTACCTTCTCTCCTACACCTTGATAAAGGGCAAACCTAGATACCATCAGGGCGCATTTTGTTAGAGATGTTCATTCATTTTTGAAGTTGTGCACTGAAGTTACTCTTACTTCATTTTGTTTTACTAAATTGGAAATTGATAATTCTGTAAAATTTTTTTAATGTAGAAGTTAATAACAGAATGGATAGAATATAACTCTCTTGAAACATGTTAAATGGAACAATGCAATAGTATAGAGAAGACAGATAGCATTATTTTATTCTCTTAGTTATTCAATTGAAGTTACACTTAAATTAATGTGTAAATAAGTGTTAGTCCTTAAGATTACAGCCTAGAAAACAATGTGGTTGGAACTACTGAGAGTGAAAGTCTATGACAGAACTGATTATAATCAGATTATGCCCCCTTTAAGACATAATTTTCTTTGATCTAACTTTTTTATGGGAATATGTATATGTTGGTGCCAGCATATACCTACTTATAGTCAGGAGATTTGATCCTGAGTGTATTCATTGTAGTCACTGAATTCTTTTGGTTTTGTGTTTAATTAGAAGAGATAATCATACTAACAAATGTTGAGTGTGAAATTTTGCAATTGTAATAGAATTTTGGTAGATTTTAAAAAAGTATTTGTGGTATGAATTTATTTACGAGAATGAAATTTAAAGTAACCAGATGCTCTTTGACTTACAATGGATTATGTCCCAATAAACCCATCATAAGTTGAAAATATCATACCCAAAATGCATTTAATACACCTAACCTATTGACCATCATAGTTTAGCCTCGCCTACCTTTATCTAACACAAAATCTATTTTATAATAAAGTGTTGAATATCTTATGTAACTTATTGAATACTTCACTGAAAGTGAATTTATGTAACTTATTGAATACTTCACTGAAAGTGAAAAACAGAATGGTTGTATGAGTACTCATAGTACAGTTTCTACTGAATGCATATGGCTTTTGCACCGTCCTAAAGTAGAAAAATCATAAGTTGAACCATCGTCAATCGGGACCGTCTGTATTTACTGATGATTGAATCCCAATTTAATGCAGAACTACGTGTCTTTGATATTCTTCTTTTCTAGAGTCTTACAAGAGACACCGCCACTGAAATAGCCATCAATGTGAAGGCACTATATAATGAAACGGAATCTTTGCTAGTTGGCAGGGTTCCTTTGGTAAGGAAAAGAAATGGTTGATAACATAAGAATGATGAAATAAATGTATGGGCCTTACCTTCATTAGGGAACATGCATTTGTCTGACCTCCATCCTTGGAGCTTCCTTTTTTCCTAGCTTTTGCCTTCAAGAAAATATATGGCTAAACTTCATAATTATGATTCAGGCCAACAGGAGTAGAGATTTCCTCTTATATATGCCATCGTGTTTTTATGCAGTCAGCTTGGAGAGTCTTGAGCTTTACAGAGTACAGTACACATTCCTTAGGTACTCATTATTGCACAAAAGTAGAGGAAGTCATTGGTTTTTTTCCTCTGAATTAACATTTGAAGTATGATTGGTGTGGTCCTCCAAATTTGCTTAAAAGAGGATACTTTCTAGACTCGGTGTTTCAAGAACTAGCCATATCCCTAGTTTATTAGCTCAGGTTGGTCCTGGAAACCACCATTAGGCCAAGTCCAATCTGACCACAATCCATGGACCTCAAGCATAAATTCTGGAAGCCTGTGGATGTCCTGTTTGGTTAGCCCCAGAGTCAGCCAGCCTTTACAGCACCTCGCCATTGTCAAATGTTCTAGCATATTGGGTCTTGTCGCCACCTAGTGTTTGATTGTGGGCTATTCACACATGCTGTTTACTGTGTAGAAGCCCTGATGGGTTAGCTGTCTTTTTCTTCTTTGTAATTTTGATTAATTGATAAGTGGAGATCTTAAAATATTTCTTTTTTTTTTTTTCCGTTTTGTCTTTTTTTTACTGACCTGTAACGGGATCGCAACCCTTGGTGTCGCGCCCGTACCGGGGACCGGCAACGGGATTGCAAC